TAATGTGTATATATATATATATGCATACTGGTACTACATTGGGGGTATACATTGTCGTTTCTAGGGTGGGTGGGTCGGAATATGTATTAGGGGGACCCAGACCTTTGAGAGGATCTATAATTAGATCCCCTATATAAACCCTAAACCCGAAACCCCTTACATAATCCTTATATGATTTACCATCTGACTCAAGGGGATCTAATTTTTAGATCCCTTTGGGGGTTTGGGGAGGAAGCCTCAGTAGGCAACCTGCCGGTGGCGCAGCCGGTGCGCCCCGTGGAGCTGCGAACATCTCCGGCAGTGTAAAGCCCTCAGATTGAGTTTTAGGATTTCTGGGTTTAGGGTTTAGGGTTTTTGGTTTAGGGTTTAGGGTTTAGGGTTTTCGGTTTAGGGTTTAGGGTTTAGGGTGAGGTCACAGCTGAACTTTGATGTGGGGAATGCCTCTATGATTCTCACCCCCAAGCAAAGACGTCACCAGGCAAGTATTACCTCAAGGGTCCAAGTATCCAAATACTAGGTCTTCAGGAGCCAAACCCTTTCAGATTATTGTGTTGGGGTACTCATTCCCGCCGAGCCCGCTCTCAGGCCACCAACAGTTCTTCTTATGAGAACAGAATTGGTACCCAACAAGATCAAAGACTTTAAGTTTGTACCCTTAATGTTTGTACCCCTAAGTTTTGGTTCCCAAATACCCTTATTGAGGGCCATATTGCATGTTTTAGGGACCCAAAACCCAAGGGTACAAACCCTAAGGGTACAAAGGACAACTCCCTGAACAAGAACCTGCAGATCCTGACAAGCTTCCTGCTCTTCCTGACATTCCTAAGCCCCAAAATCCCAAACCCTAAAATCCTGTGCCCTAAAACTCACCTGAAAGCCAACTGCGTGCGGGGTCTTCTTAATCTTTCCCAGGGCCATGACCCCTATGTAGCAGTTTCTCAACATCGACGCTACATAATCTCCAACCCTGGGGCTCCAAGTCTACCTTACTTTGGACCCTATAAAGTCTGTAAATGGTAAAACAATTGGGGCATTGAGATCCCTAGAGCAATATATGGAGTAAGCCAGTATTTCTTTTCCCGTGGCTGTAGTTGACGACCAGAATTTGCCTTTACTTGGGCCCACAAAGCATTGGACCTACGGCTTCCAAGCTTCCAGATCCAGTCGCTAGTTGTATGGGCTACCTAATGGTAACCACCATGACCACCGCCGCCACTGCCGCCGCCGCCCTCTATACTAGCTCCACCAAAGTTCCACCTTGATTCTTGATTAGGCTTAATTAGGGCTTTTTAAGGCTAATCAAGAGGCACTTTTGGGGGGTAAGTACAGTAAGGGGGTGGTAATGGAATCCATGAAGTTTGGAAGTCGTTTTCGGGACTGATGTCCTATTGTCGACACTAAAATCCAGCAGGACCTGAAACATGAAAGCTACGTTACCTTGGGAAATTCTGGTTTTCCAGCATATCAATGTTATGCAGGGCTTGTAGTATACAAAAGTAGGACAGAACACCAAGAATTTCACACCTTAAACCCGTAACCCCTGGAGAGGTCCGTGGCCACCCTTACACTGCACTTCCTTGGCACATTGATATGTGAGCTACTGTCCATATTAGCATTGGAAAAGGGCCCTGCGAAGTGGACATTAAGGTTGTCTTGTAGTTTAGGGTTTAGAGTTCAGTGTTTAGTGTAGTCCCTAATAAGGAACCCATGTCCTGTAAACTAAGTAGGAAACATTGACTATAGCTCATGTAATCCTTATACAACCAGACCAAGACCTGCCGCCTGCCACCCAAAATCCCCACATAAGCTGTAGCCTAAACTATTGAAAGGGGTTCAGATAGAGAATTTTTAGGGTGTGGGGTTCAAGGTTTCAGGTTTAGGGTGAGGGTCTACTCCAAAGGGGGGTGATATAAGGGACTACTACAGGGCTTATTCAGTGGATACTAGGAGTTTAGGTCATGGCTCAGATGGCCCTTTTGGCATCTGGCTACAACAGCCAACTGCAAAACTTATTGGTGTTTGGGAAGGAAGTGGGGAAGTGGATCCTTGTAATGCCCCCCCTAAGGGTCCAAGGACCCAAACAACAGGGTTTTAGAGCACAAATATTAAACTATTACTGGTGGGTCCTAAAACTCTGTTATTTGGGTCCTTGGACTCTGAGGGTCCCTGTTCACTCCCTTATACTAGCACCTATGTTCGCTCGCACCTTTGGCACTACAAAAGGTGGAGCCCTTCCCTAGGACCCCTGAAGGAGACTCCTGGACCCTCAAAGTATGTAGAATAATGGCCTTTTGGGCTATATTTAGGGGATTTGGGCCATTATTTTACCTACTTTGGGGGTTTAGGTAAGCCCTAAACCGGATGTCGACCCCTAAATCCTGAACCTTTAGCCCTCACAGTCACATACCTTGCAGAGCGCGAAGGTATACCGTGCGCCCCGCAGTCGACCGAAATGCAGTTGACGAGGTGCCGCTCGAGCAGGAAAACGTTTAGGGTTTAGGGCTAGGGTATCTAGATTAGGATTGGCCCCAACAGCAGTGGATACATGAACGCTGCTCACACGTATAGGGCTTATATAGGATTGCTAGATTGATACGATGTGGGGCTGCTGCTACACTCTGAGTACAAAGTGATGACCAATTGCGTTTGATCCACAGACCGACCCATATCACTGCTGTCTACTAATCTGTTAATATGTTGTACGTGGTACCATATACCCAGAACCTGGGTCAAGTTGTTTAGCCTCTACAGCATACCAGAACTTGTCTCAGGTTTGTTCTTTGTTCGAGTTTGCGGTGGGTCCTAAACCCTAAGCCCTAACCCTGAACCCCTACAACGCGTAGTTTCAGGTAGTTTAGCGGTTCAGGCTTTGGGATTCGCTGTTTGCGGCTTAGCTGCTTAGGTTTAAGGCTTGGGGGTTTGTATTCAACAAATCATAACCTAAGCCCCTAAAATAGGGGCGAAGATGCGCAACTATTCTGCATTAGTAGCGGTACGGTGGCTACTTGGAGGCCCATGGGACTTAGTAACTACTTATAACTGGGCTTATAACCCTTATAATCCCCCTAAATGGGCTTATAGAGGTTACCCCAAGTACAAGTAGGCTTATAAGCCCAGTTATAGGTAGTTACCAAGTACCATGGGCCTGCAAGTATGCTAAGGAATTAATTAGGGGCCGGGATTTCGGAGGCTTCTGACTTGTCCCTGCTGGATTGAGGTTTGCAGGTCAGCTTTTTGTTAAACACCAGAGGCTTCGGTTTCAGGGTTTAGGCTATTTAGGGAACAACTTCAAGAGGGAAGGATATGCATGCCTCAGGTGGTATTCCTGGTCAATTAAACTCTGGAGCATGCAAAACAACCAGGATGGGGACATCCTCACCATGGCAATCGATGGAGCCGAGCAGAGCAAGTTCGCGATCCCTCGGGACCCAGAGGTACGCAAAAGCTCTGTGCTTTGCAACAAGCAGAAGCCGAGCATGAAGCTGCATGGGGCATGGGCGTTCGGCCAGGCACTGCATCTCCACGTACTAGAGTACTAGATGAAACGCTCATGAAGACTTATCGATTACGATAGAGATGATATCCCAGCTCGTCCAGGAGGTGGCGGCGCAAGCAGCGGCGCGTGCAAAAACCGTTGCCAGCTCATTGTTGGTCTTGCGGCGATAATATTGTCCGAGAGAACAAGAACTGGCAGGTTCTGGCGTACTTGAAGGTGCTCACTGCGACTGGCAACTTCAGGTCGGCTGGTCTAGCTTTCTCGCGCAAATCTCACACGCATGAGAGGAAAGACCGGGTCTTCGGGACCCTAAACCTTCAATCTTGATTAAAAGGGGGACTGCAAAAGGAGCCTACATGGGGGGTTTCTCAGAATTAGGGTTATGTAGGGCTTATATAGGGTTTAGGGTTGTATTTAAGGGTTTTGTAGGGTTCATGTAGGGTTGACACGCAGGGTCCCAAGTAGAAACTACCTTGTTCAGAAAACAAGGGAGCCGTATAAGTATAGACTATAGATTTAGATTCTGATTAGATTCAGAATCTCGGAAGTGGTTGAGATGAGACAGCCCAACATGTTGCAGCGACTGAAGAGACCGGCTGCCGCTCGAGCTGCTAGTGGGGATCGCCAAGCGGCCCGCCAAGAACCATCTCAAGCGGCCAACGCAGGCAACGGCAAAGGCGGTGGCAGCTCCAACGCCGAGAAGGTCCAGAACGGCAAAGGCAGCTGCGGCCCCAACTCTGAGAAGGTCCAACAGCAGCAGCAGCACAAGCTCCACATCCTCAAAGTCATCAAAGGAGCAGATGCCGCCGATATATGAATTCAGGCCGGCGGGGCCGTCTCCACCGACAGCAGCGAACCAGCCGTAACGGGTTTTTATAGGGGTTGTATGGGGATACTGGAAAAGAATATGGAAACTACTGTTTCGGCTTTAGGGTTATAGGAGCTCCCCAAATCAGAGGTACCTTTCTGGGGGGTCCGTTTAAGAATAAGAAGGATTGCAAGATTTGGGGTTCTGTATTGAGGCCCCGCAAACGGCAAACTACCACATAACTTCTTGATCCTCGTCCTCTAAAGCCTAAATGTTGGAAGTTTGGAAAAATTGGGGGGGGGGAGATCTCGGCAGCCCGTGTACAGAGGAATCTCATGGTTTTGGAGTGCAGACGCGAGACTGCGCTCAAACAACCATTCTGCAACTGTGGATATGGGGCTGTCTTTTCTACATATTCTGAAGTTCATATCTTTGAACCTCAACCCTCTCGCCCAAGAAGTCCTTCTTGTAAGACAATTCCATATTTGCCTCTTCTGGGGTCCTAGCCTGGTGCTGCAACCATGAATTCCAAACCTTCATCCTTACATGAACCCGAGACCCTAAACCTTAAACTCAAACCTTAAACCCTGGTTTAGGGTTTAGGGTTTAGGGTTCAATCTTAAACCCTATGCCCTAGCTCTCTGCGACAAGAATCACATCAAGCTCTCAGGGCTGAGGCTTTCTCGAACTTCCTCGAAGCCTTTCACTGCATCCTACCTGGGCCATGGACGTCCTACCCGTTTGGGGATATACGCTAGGAACATATAAAGGGTCTAGGGCTGAGAGTTTGAAATATACCCCTAAACCCTAAGCCCTATAGGTCCTCAAGAACGAAGGACGTCTAGGGTCCAGGTGGAGACCTGAACCCTGGCCCCTTCCTCCCCAAAGCCCTGCATCCGAAACCCATTAGGGTCTAGGGTTTGGGGCGCCCTCGCGGCACAGTCTGCACTAGAGTCCTTACCATTGAAGTCTATAAGCCTAAACCCTAAGACCTGAACCTGAACCCCGTGCAAACCCCAGATCTTTTACCAGCGCAGGAGTGCAAAATCGGCATGCTGTTGCAAACAGGCTGGAATTGATCTTTTTTCATTTTTACCTTTTGAGCAAACGTCCTGAGATTTTTTGACAATGCCAGAAGCAAGTAGAACCCTGAACACATATACATATATGCATAGCCTGGAATTCTGTGTTCGTCGCAGAGCTATCATGAGAAACAAGGATTTGCATGCCCAACTGACCGGCAGATTCCAGGGATGTCTTCAGGCATGATATGGGCGGTTGAGGGTTTTGGATAAGATTCTGTAGGCCTTTGTCGAGTTGTTGTGAGGCCTAGGTGTCCCAAGAATGAATTTCTGAATGTCGTGTGAGAAGTTGTGTGTTTGACCGTTGGCTGTGTTTTTTGATTCAAGCAGAAAGCTCCATGACTTACCCTACACCGTTTCAGTTTACAGCTTCAACTCGTTCTCGCTCGTCAGGGCAGCTGCACAGGTTTCTTTTGTTGGCAGGATTTCGTTTGCGAGGTTATTTGAGGTTGTTTTTGTTCAGGCTATCTGAACAAGAGGTTCTCCTATGTTTTCACTTGCAGGCGGGAAGTGGTTTCAGAGGGGAGCATCTAGGCGCTAGACGTCAGCCTAACCTCACCGTAAACCCAGCACAGCCCAGATTGGCATCACACAGCTTCCGACGAATCAGATGGCCACCCACAGACAAGCTACCCAAAGGGTCCATGTAGCTGTATGGGAAAGGGTTGTTGGTCTAGGGTAGGTATATAGTATATACATGTATATACCTGGGCTCCGAAGTAGGTATATGTGAAACCCTTAGGGCCCTAAGTAGATAATATATTCCAACCTGGACTCTTGAGTAGGAACCACTTGAGCAGAGCTGGTTCACCGATACAAGATTAAGGGTTTGGGCGGGTTTGGGGTTTAGGGTTTAGGGTTTAGGGGTTTAGGGTTTAGGGGTTTAGGGTTTTGGGTTTTGGGTTTGGTTGCCTAGATGCTGTGAATCCAATTTCACCTTCACACTCCAGGGGGTTCTGGAAAATCCCAGTAAAACCCAACGCAATCTTTACATATTGTGGTAGCTACCCCGCAAGTGTGAAGGACCCGAATCTTTAGCCGCTCTTTGCGGGAGGCTCCGGGGCCTACCCTACAGCTACCAGAACATCTGAGACGTCTGTGGGCTTTAGGCTTTAAGCCGTACTTGGAGGCCCATGGGACTTAGTAAGTACTTATAACTGGGCTTATAACCCTACTTATAATCCCCTTAATTTTAAATGGGCTTATAGGGGTTACCCCAATTATAGGTAGGCTTCTAAGCCCAGTTATAAGTAGTTACAGTGTCCCATGGAGGCCAGTAGTGGTGGGAGGCTGCGATCTAGGGTCTTGCTTTCTGCTGATTGCTTGCTCGAGAGGAAAAGCGCTTCGGTTCGCGATGCTGTAGATGCCCGAGAGACTTCCCTTATCTCCTAGGAAACCCCATATGAGCCATAGTCTAAACTCCTTAAAGGGGGGTTATATAGGGGGGTTATATAGGGGAGTATTATAGGGGTTATTAGGGGGGATACTAGGAGTTTAGATTATAGCTTATATATCTACAGCATGGTAGCGCCCACAGAACCCTATTCTAGTGATTTTAGGTGGTTCTGCAGTGCACGTGAATGGACCACGAGCATCTATGCAGAATGCTGCGCTGCGATTGTTGTGAAATTGCGGACAGAGACACACACACACACACCCAAAGGGTCTTTGTAGGAATGTAGCAGAGGGTTCAGGGTTTAGGGTTGGAATATAGTATATTCTTAGTGCCCAAAGAGGTTCCCATGTACCTACTTGGGGTCCGAAATTATCTAAATATATACAATACAACCCTAAACCCTAATCCCTAAACCCCTAAACCCCTAAACCCTAAACCCTAAATATCCGTAGTCCTAAGCCTATGTGGCTTGAGTGAGTAGACCAAGGGGCTCAAGGTTTGCTGTTCGGTTTACCGGGAGCCTCATAGGCGGTATGCAGAAATTCATGCGGTTTAGGGTGTAGGGTTTAGGTTAAAAACCCTAAACCCTATAAACCCCCAAACCCTCAACCCTATAGACCCTAAACCCTATAAACCCTTAACCCCAAACCCAACCTCTCCTTAGCCCTAAACCCTAAACCCAACCTTTGCCCCTTTTTTTCTGGGGTCTAAGGGCTTGCTCAGTTAAGATTCTTGACTACCACGGTCCAGGGTGTAGTTAAAGCTCAGGTTGAAGGTGGGGAGCCGAGGACTCAAGATTGCTTTTGCTAAGCCCTAAGCCCTAAACTGGGTTGCTGTTGGGTATATAGCAAGTAATACGGTTTCCTTGTGGTAACTTGATTTATATTCCTCAGACCCTAAACCCTAAATATAGGGATTTCAAAAAAAACAATGGAAACAACTATTTAGGGTTTAGGGAAGCTGTTGGGGAACTTAAATGAAGTTACCATGTATGGGTAAAGAACAAAGAAAAGGGTTTCCTTATGATGACTGCTCCTTCACAGCAACCCTGTAGACCCTAAACCCTAAACACGTAGATCCTAAACCCTGCTGCCATTCGCGTTCCTCAGCCGCTTCTTCATCTGGTGGAAAACACAGACAGGTAATACTCCAAGCTTTGTAGCCAAACCATGAGCCCCTGAAGTTAGCATCGAAGACTGACATCCTTATTCCACCCAATCCTACACCCTAAGCCTTAAACCCCCAATTCTAAACCCTATAGACCCTAAGCCCTACACCCGAAAACCCTGAACCCTAAACCCCACTTCGGAGTCCTTAAGCCGGAGCTCCAACAGGTAAGCCCCCTCGAAACCCTCAAACCCTAGAAATTCACTTCTTGGGCTTGGGGGTTCAGGGGTTTAGGGTTTAGAGTTGAGGGTTCAGGGTTGAGGGGAGAGTCCCCATAAACGAACAGTCCCCTAGGTGGTGGGTTTTGTTGCCAAAGCCATTGGGACGGTAGGTATGTTAAGGTTTCATCCAGGGGCATTCGTGGCAGCTGCCAAGAGGAAGTTAACCTTAAACCCTTAAATCCCAAAGCCTAAACCCCACGCCCTTAACCCCAAGTGTTCAACCCGAAGCAGCCTTCGTGAAGACTCAATACACGCCGCCCAGAGACATGGCCCATAAACTCTGCGCGGCATGGTGAGGGCCCCTGGAGAGTCTGTATAGGGTTTAGGGTTTTGAGTTTGGGTATCAGGGTTTGGGATGTAGGGTTCAGGCTTCAGGGCCATAGTTAGAGGTTTGTAGTGCTGGTCTTTTTTTTCTGCAGTTTGTGGCTCATGCTTTCCTTTTGTTTGTTGTGTATGTGTGCGTCTCTTGTCGCTGGCTTCCTTTTTTTTGATGCTGGGTTCGTTGGGGTCCAATGTGGGCTTCCAAATGTAATCCATAAATAGCACCAGCATTAGGTCCCCAAGCCTATGGATGTTAGATTATTCGGAGCACGAGGGATAGGGTGTGGGGTTCTGCAGCCTTTTTAGAGGGTGGTCCTTGATCGCTGCACCGTTTTGCAGGGGGGGTCATCATAAGCGCAACGAGGGTGCTAAAGGTTGCTTTGTAGCGCTCTGTTCGTTTGCGTAATGTGGAAGCCTCAGCAATTACGCATGCACATACATCTTTTACAAAGTTTTTCATGACTGTAGTAAGAATTGTGGTTTTCATAGATATGGGGGCATTATAGATCCCAAAATCGGATAATCCCGTGGTCATTTGTCTAGGCACTCCCTCAAAAAGCGTCCCTATAGTTGTGAGAAGCTCCGATATTCCGGAAAGGCCTGTTCTAATTGAACAGGCACTCATTGAACCAGCCTTTATGGCTCTGGATGCACATGCTTCAAAGTTGTGGTTACGGATTACGATTTCAGATCAGATTTTTTGGGTAAATCCCGCCGCCAAATAAGGATCCCAATCGAGTCATGCATTAGCTATAAGCCTCGATTTACATCATGCTATAATGTAGTACTTTCCATTTTCTTGTCCACTAATACAAGCTCTACATGGTACTTTCCCAAAATAGGGGGCCCCAATGTAGACCCCAAAATATTGATATCCTTATTATAGGACCCCCAAAAAGGTACCCCTAGTTTTGGGAAACCTCCACATGGCTCCCTTTAGTTCATGGCCCCAAGTTCCTGAGTTGACCCTAACCAGCCCTCTCATCACTGTCGGGCTTGAGGTTTGCGAATTCGGGTTGTTGAAGGGATGTGCAGGCCCGAAAGTCCCCTTGCGTAGATAGAATGTGGGGTATATGGGGATCTTATTCTAACATACCCAAAGCCATATTCTATCTACTTAAGGGGGACTGTACACCCTAAAGCCCAAACTAAGGTTGAGGCTTAGGGTTTATGGTTCAAACGCC